CAATCCGCCAAGGACAGTGGCGAAGCGGCTCCGGTCTGGTTGCGCTATAGTGATCCACGATCCTCATGCGGCTACTAGTCAGTTCTGCTGCTCAACCTCCTTAGGGTCCTCCTTGCGGGCCAGCCAAAGGGCCTTTACAATGGGTAGACTGATATTGGGGTCTACACCTGAAGGCCCGAAGTTCTGGGAATCCTGAGAGTAGAGTCGCCAGCTATCCACCTGGGAATCAGAAAGGGGCCCCTGTGTCAAAAAAAACAGAGGAAGCCTGAGCCCAGAAGGATCCACAGCCTGGGCGCTTGGTGACACTACAGCGGAGACGAGAGCGTGCCAAGGACAAGAAGCTGAACTCGAACCCGTCTTCGCCGACCTTTTCGGCCTGCCAAGAGAAAGGCAGCCCACAGAGGGGGCCCACGTTTCACTCCAAAACTCTCATTGTGGCTTCGGGGTCCACTTCGCTCTCTTGAGGGCATAGGGTTGTGGAGGGGTTTTGGAGGTCCTCTTTTTCATTCCCCTTGGGCGGCAGGCTCGTGTACCAGTGGAAGTAGAGCGGGAAGGTCGCCATCTCTGTTTGGTACTGGCTCTTGGAGCTTGAGGACATCAGGAGCGTGCAGCAGAGGTTCCTGTGGGCTTCAGGCGGCTCTTACAAAATCTGTTGAAGCTGACAAAGCTGTCTAGGGCTTCTTTTGCAAAGAGAACATTTGACAAACAAAAAACTGCCTCCCTTTCAAGCCAAGGTTCAGCAGCAAGAAATCATTCCCTCGGAGGGCCTGGCAGCGGGTCTGCTTGAACTTTGACAAGCAAACTTACATTGAATTGGCGTACTTACGAGGGGAGGCGAACTTCAGAACGCTGCCCAGCCCTAAGCCCCCGCGCACGCGCGGGCCTCTTCCTTGGGTGTGAAGCCCTTGCGCTGTCCCATGAAGTCCTGAGTCAAAGAGGTATGATTCGGGTTTTAGGGTTTTGGAAGACTGAATGGCGCATGTCCGTTTGCGGCCGGGTGCGGAGGACTTCGCCCTCTCGCCGGGGTATGAGACGTTGGAAGGAGCAACCAAGCAACGGCAGGGCTGATTCTTCGCTGAGCTGTCGTGTTGGGGGGGCGGTAGGTTGGGAGGGGGTGTCGAAGAACCCTGAACCCGATTCAAAGGAGACACCTGAACCCTAAAGCTATAAACCCTAAACCCTAAACCCTAAACCTGCGAGACTAAAAGTCCCACAACGCCTTCGTTTTTGCTGAGGATCGTAGAAGCCGGCCACGAAGGGATCCTGCGGCCACTTCTGCTCACCTTCCCACATCCTGTCGTCCTGGCGCCGGGGCTCCAGCAAGGGCCTCTCTGTTGGGTTGAGGGTGGAGGGTTTAGAGTTTAGGGCCTGAGGCTCAGGGCGCTTGGGGATTACGATGAAGAGCAGCCCACCCTCCCATGCCCAGGTGGTGCGAGTTGAGCCATGGAAGTCGGCTCCTATGTGAGAGGCCCAGCCTGCCACTGGTAGATGCGAGGGTCGTCAAAGTTGATCCTGCCCGGATTTCCTGTTGCGGGCGAGGGGGCGGGAGGACGGGAGGCTTGGGCTTAGAACCCCAAGGCGGAGGGGGTCCCCAAGGTTTCGATCCTTGGAGGTCGTATTCGGTATGGCTTTCCTTTCCAAAAAACCTAAGAGTTATCTACTCAGCCAGAAAGCCAGAACCCCAATCTCAATCCCGGGCTCCTTTCTCCAGCTTTCCGGTGATTGCGCGCACCTCCATGTGCTCCACCCAAACCCGCTCTTTTGGCATCGTCTGTTGTCAGGGCTTAGGGTTCAGGATTTAGGGTTTAGGGTAGAGCTGGGGGAAAATTAGGGCTTGGGGATTTGCGCTTTAGGGCGTGGGGTTTACGGTTCCTCTTTGCGATTTTCTCGGCCCGACATCCGCCTTCTGGGGCTTAACTCCAACAATCTCGCCACAGCTGTACTTGTGGAACGGGGGGCACTTGTTGCCTGCCACGCAGTCGCGTTTGTGCGCAGCACCTGTCTTCACCGTGTCCAGGATTGCAGCGTGAAACGCGCTCGGGCTGCGGAACATCGGGTTCTTCAGCCCGATGTTGCCACAAGTCCAGTAGTCATTCCACTCCAAGTTCCCCTCCGTCGGCACATGGTCCCACCACGTGTCCGTTCGAGCGAGGAGGCCCAACGGGCCGTTCTTGGCCAGGAGCTTCTGCGGGACGTTGGGGTGCAGCAGCGAGAACCACATCGTGGGCCGCTTGTCCGCGCAGCTTTGGTCGGTGATGCACTTCCAGAAGTTGGAGTTGGACATAAGCCTCCGAATTCTTTTCAACACCCAAGACATCAAGACATGCAATGCCATGCCCCTCCAGCCAAGTACAAAAGAAAACGGCCGGTAACACCACAAGGCTCTGTTTGGGCAAAGCCAAGGGTCTGCTTGGTGGCCATGAGCCGGGCACTTCCGAAGTCCTTCAGGATCTGGTCGTGCAAGCTGCTGTTCAGGCCCTCCGACAGCGCGTGCGCCTCGCGGAGGTGCTGGAGCAACGAGGCGTCCTCGGCACCTCGGCTCTCTTGGGGTTTAGGGTTTAGGGTTTAGGGTTTAGGGTTTAGGGTGTGCACCCCCCTACTACCCTGGAACCGTGATGGTAGGGTCTACAAAAGTCCCCTTTATTCAAGGGTGGTTGCGGGAGTGCAGGCAGTAGCAGACGGCCACAAGGGAGCAAAGTAAGCAAAGAGCCATGGGGAAATCAAGGCACAGCTCTCCGAGTCCTGGCACTGCCCCTTCACCAGGGGCAGCGCAAACGTGACGAGGAAGACCCAACCTTGTTCATGGTCGGGATAGGATTAAAGGCTTTAAGCTGCTGTTCTTTATTGAGTTGACGTGCCCTCAAACATGTAAAATGTTACCCCACTATGACAAAGCAACGCTGCATTGGGTCGACGCCACACTGGAATGCCCGGGGCCTCGAGACACCGACTTGGATGGAGGACAATCGCGACTGTTTGGGCCCGAAGTGGCGGCATGCAAGCTTCGTGATCCCCGGGGCCCGTTTAGGGTTTAGGGTTTTTGGGGTTCAGGGTTTAGGGTTTAGGGTTTTTGGGGTGCAGGGTTTAGGGTTTAGGGTTTTTGGGGTTCAGGGTTTAGGGTTTAGGGTTTAGGGGGCTATCTAGATAATCGGCATGATGCTACGTGATTACTGCTGAAGTTCAGGGTTCAGGGTTTAGGGGGCTATGTAGATATCAAACACCATTGGAATTCAACAATGGTTGGAACTGACTGAGCCCCTGCACACTCCAAGTCAATCACATCCTACGCCGGCCGCATGCTTGAATGGTGTACCAAGAGCTGCACGTTCCCAGCTGCTGTTGAATTGCGTCATGTCGGGGGAGGGGAGCTCTTCTGGAGACCCTAGTGCTATGCAACCAAACTACTACATGTGTGCTGCCTCTTCATGTACGACTTCTCGGTACTGCAGCTGCCGGATCACTGTGCTGAGCCTCTATTCAGGTTCCTGCTCCAGTAGCCTGCCTCTTACGATTCATGAAGCTGCATGGTAGCTACTTGCTTAAAGTACTCCCGACCCATGCTCGGCTTGCACAAAGCATTCACTTTACACCATTGTTTGGTCTAGGCCCCCGCACGCTCCACCTCCCTACAGAAGCCTCAAGCCTCAGGGCTACTCAACGCGATCGTGGCTGCAGCGAAGGTATGGCCAATGGCAGCAATATGCCCCATTTCTGAGCCAACTCAAAGTGGCATTTTTCCCTCTAACCCTAAACCCTAAACCCTAAACCCTAAACCCGAAACCTTAAACCCTAAACCCTAAACCCTACACCCCAAACCCTAAACCCTAAACCCTAAACCCCAAACCCCAAACCCCAAACCCCAAACCCCAAACCCTAAACCCTAAACCCTTTCTTTCAAAACGCAATCTCCGCGCCAAAGTATCTTGTGACTTGGCGAAGGCCGTAGCAACCCAAGCCGGTTCCAGGCTGCCAAAAGCAATACAAGCCATCCCCAAACCCAGATCTTCCAAAACCCCTTAATTATAAGGAATATGCCCCAATTCATATTAATAATCCTTAGGGTTTAGGGTTTAAGGTTTAGGGCTTAGTATCAGTTAGGGTATATTCCTTAATTCAGGGGTTTTGGAAGATCTGGGAACGGGACAACCCAAGACCGACCAGTTGGAGGCTTCTTGGTTTCTAGATGCCACCATTGAAAACAGAAAAAAAGAGAAACCTGCAGAAATTCTGGGATTTAGGGAAAGGCATGCATCTTCAAGGAATGCTTCCCGGCTATAGATTTTACATGTCAGAAACAAACGAGGCAGCATGCAGCTGCAGAAAGGGGGGGATGGCCGCCCCCCTGGCAAAGTCAGCCGCGGTCCAGTTCCGGCAGTTTCGGAGATCCGCCCGTGCTCCCGCAGCGATCAGGGCAGCCACACCCTCATGCTGTGCAAACTGCATTGCTGCCATCAGCGGCGTCTGCCCATGAATATGGTAGCTCTGAGATGAGAGAGTTGTTGGCTTCCCAACCCGATGCTTCAGAGACTGAGCGGCCACAAGTAGCCTACCAGACCGGGAGAAGTCGCGGCGGACGTCGCACTGGAAGTCGACGTCGGCCCGGAGGCCTACCAGGCGCTGGACAAGCTCGGCTGAGCCACCGCGAATCGTCATGGCATCCTTAGTAGCCCAGCTACCATATTATGAGGGCACCCTTTCTTTGGTTGGTTACTTGATAAGGGAACCAGAACCCAAAGACAAAAAAGGGAAAAGGGTACCACTGGGCTACCAAGCATCAAGCAGCGCTTTTCCCAGCTCGTGTGGGCCGTGCTGAGCTTGTGTCAGGAGCTCCTCCATCGCCGCCAGGCTTCCGAAGCCAGCTGCACTGACGAGGGCTGAAACCCCAAAGATATTCCTCTACTGAACTTGGCAGCCCAGCAAAAATCAAATTGTTTGCTGTTTCTAAGGAATTCGAGTACCCAAAAACTTGAAGAACAGATTTCCAAGTACCCCAAAGATTCTTGGCCAAAGGATCCCCGCCACTGGCACGGAGCAGACGGATGCCATCCACGTTGTTTGACGTGGCAGCAATGATCATGGCTGGCGCAGTTCCCCCGCTCAGCTGGGCCCGAGCACCTATCAGAAGCTGGGCCGCAGCATTGTGCTTGTAGAAGATCGCCATGTCCAAGGCCGACATCCAGGGCGGAAAGCCCAGCTTTGGCTCGGCCTTCGTGGTCCGCCGGTTGGGGTTCGCCCGCCGCGCCAGCAGCCCTGCGACAACCTGCGGGCTGCCCGACATCGCGGCGTAGTGCAGCGGCCGAAATCCTGCCGAGTCCTTCTCGCCGGTGCTGCGGAAGCCGTTCTGGTAGAGGAAGGCTGCCGCGGGGTGGTCGCAGTCGGGTGCGAACGTTTTCTCGGAGCTAGGGACCACATTGCATACATGATCTGTGTCTAAACCGGTCAAGTAAAGCGTCTGCAGGTTCAGGTGCCGTCGGTAAGCAGGCAAGTCCCCTGCCTGAAGGGACATGGCTAGCTTCATGTTCACAATCTGCTTCATAACAGGTGCCAGCTTCAGCCGATCGTCCTCGATTGTAAACTCGCCTTCACCAACTGGGCCAGAACCAAATGACAAAACTGTGCCAACCATTCGAAGCGAAGTCGAACCTTGCACGAGGATCCAAGAGTCATGGGCGGAGAGTTCGCGCGCTGCTCGCTCCAGCCTGCACCATCCGCGCTCACTCCAGCTTGTCACATTTAAAACCCTCGCCCGCGCAGAGCAATCGATCGTCGGACACAGCGCGAAGAAAAAGCGACACTTGGCTACATAGGCGGGGATGCTGTTAATGGCTTTTGCCTGCTGGCTGCCATCGCTGTCATTTGCCGCTTGATCGCTGCCCTCCAACTGTGGTACAGAGAAGTAGTCATACCAAATGAAGAGCGACTTCTGTTGGAACTCCTTGTGTGGAAGACCTTTAGCGGTAGGCACGAAGCTTTCTGTTACCCAGTCTGCAGACACTGATCCTGAGTTGTAGAGGAGGTGCCTTAAGGCATCTTGCAACACAGGCATCTGCTCAAACTCGGGGTCGGGATGTTGCTTGGCAACCCACTGGTGTGACACGAAAATTGCGCTGCCCATCCTCTCGTTGAAGTCAACAATGTCGCCTCGTGCCTTTGTGACAAGTTGCCATAAGAAGGGTTTAGGGTTTAGGGTTTAGGGTTTGGCGATTATCTCTCTATGTAAGCTGGCAGAGTTGGGTTAATTAACAAGAAGAAACCTCCGACTGAGCTGTGACAAGGAAGTTTCCGTGTGGAATGGAATACCAGCCCTACCCCTACTACATTCCCCCCGCTCCTGCAAACCAAGAAGCCAACTTACAACCTCAGTAGACTCCTCACTCAATTACATGCCTGGTTTGGGTTGCGGGCAGGGTTGGGGGCTGTTGAACTGTTGAACTCCCTAAGGCTCTCTAAGCTTCTAAGGCTCCCTACGTACCTAACTATGAACCCCTCTTCCCTTCAGAACCCGATAAGCTGTTGAGCCTTCAGAGTCTCGTGCGAGACCACGATCCTCATCTCTAGCAGAACCTCTGCCCGCACCGTGTACATGGGAAAGTGCATGGTAATAGCCTCGGGTGGACTGGATGACCCTCAATTCAAAAAGAAAGCTCAAGAACCCATAAGCCCTAAACCGCTAACCCTGAACGCTACACCTTTCAACCCAACTGCAGTATCCAAACCTTCATCTGCATGGTGAGTTCCCTCAAACATTACAGCTGGGTTGGGGCTCGGACTGCTTCCCTTACAATGATACTGAAACAAACCAGCATGCGTTCTGGAATCTTGTTGCCAAGCAGGAAGGGTTTAGGGTTTAGGGTTTAGGGTTTAGGGTTTAGGGTTTAGGGTTTAGGGTTTAGGGTTTAGGGTTTAGGGTTTAGGGTTTAGGGTTTATAGAAATTGTATAGGGTTTGAGTCCCAATAAGTTTTGACCGAAACGTTTTGACCGAAACGTTTCGACCGAAACGTTTTGACCGAAACGTTTTGAGCGAAAGTTTTGACCGATACGTTTTTTTTAACCACATTTTTATTTTTGGGAAGTGCGGGAAGCCGGGACCTGATTTGGGGTCTTGGAGCCTTCTGTGGGGACACCCGGAGGTTTTCGGGGCTCAGAATTCGGGGCCTCCTTGCTTCTTGTTGCTTTTTGGGGAGTTGCCTGTGCAAGTACAGCCACGCACACATGCGACGAAAGCGACACCAACAGCAAAAAACCATGAACTTCGCAATCTAAGAGCAACACCTCGTCACGCCAACGTGTGGAAACCTGCGCAAAAGCTTTTTGCGTTCTGCATTACAAGTGTTTGCAGGGGTTGGAAGCAAACAAAAAGCTTACATCACATTCACTTCGTGCATCTTGGAAAAGCCTTTGAGTTTAATCTTTATCGATATTCCTTTCGAGCCTGCTTGGCTTCGTGTTTGCTCTCACGTTTGCATTATAGTACGTGTTCGGAGTTATTCGTCAACTGAAGATTCGGAAACACATTCATTTTGCACTATAGGGCTATTACAGGGGGCTCATAGCAACCGCTGGCTCTTGTCCACCTTGCTATACTAAATCAAGACCGGCTGGTGCGGGCCTGACTACGAGTCGTCCAGACAAGTGGCACAAAAAATCAAGCTTGCCATACATGCCTTAAAGCCCAGGTCCGGATGGGCTTTCCGCTCCTTTACACAAGGAGAGCAGTCATGCTGCGCTATAGAGTTCACATGCAGCTATGTCACGTCGTTCAAAATAAGTCTGACGAAGACATGGAGAACACAACCCTTGCGAAATGCCTTGAAACATGTCTAAAACATGAGCCCACAATGCTCAGGCAAACACGCTTTTCTTTGCGCGTCCTTTCGCCTGAGACAAGTCTGAACGACAAACACCCTACAGAGCGCAAGATACCAGCCTGTCCCTTTAAGTACAAGGCCTCATCACTGTGTGTCATGCATAAGACTTTATAAATCCATCTTTTCATGATAAGAACAAAAAGAGTTATAGCCAAGTCCGCAACCTTCCACTCGACCAGGCCAGCCTGCAAAAAAAAACCAATCTATCAGCGCATTGCATGACACTTCCGTGCAAACCTGTACCGAAGCCTGCAAGCTGCAAGCGCACACGACAAGAGAGAAAACACTCCCCAGAAAACAAAAGCAACAACAAAAGCAACAACAAATCCTTTGAACATTTCATGTCACAACATTTCTTTAACGATTTATATCATTGAAAGCAACTCCCTTCAAGCACCCTCTCACGACCTCCCAGCTCGCGACATCTTCTCACTCCTCACGACCTCTTTTGAAGGCCTCCTCTCACGACATCTTCCCAGGACCCCTCTCATGACTTCCTTCCAAGAATTCTTTTCTTGCCCCCCTCAAAAAACCTGTATGGTGCCTTTTGATGATTTATTATCCACTACCGGCGGACTCCCACACACGCGGACACTTCGCCACCAAAGTATACAAAAGTTCTGGTCAACTCCTGGTCCCCAACATCGAAACAAGGATCCTATTGGCAGAACATTCGAAAAACGTCCATTCAGGCGCTACAGGAGCCTCCAACACAGCACAAAACACGAACCCAAAGACGTGTCAGCGAACTGAAAACAATGAAGCACAACAACGCAAGCACAGCTACACAGATTGACAACTGAGATCGAGACCGGCTTTCCAGGAGCAACGCCAGTCTGCAAAAGGGAGATCAAGCACTTTCCCATCATGAACAATAATCGCAGCCCCAACGGCATGAATAATGTTCAAGCACGACCCGCCTGCAGCCAGTTCAAATAGGCTGCCACCTCGGGACATCTGATGTACACACAAACCATTTTCGCAGCGCGGCTCTGGAGAAGGCTATGCGTCTGCGGACTCTTGGGGCTCACAGACGGCTCTAGAAAAGGCCTTGGCTCTACGGACTCTGAAGGACATGTGTGAAACTAAAACCTGTAGAAAATAGAGCACGGCTGAGCACGGACGCTTCCCAGCAACCTGTCCAAGTTTTAACGAAAAGGTCTGCAAGCAGAAAAGCCTCGTTTTTTCAGCGACCGAGACGCATCGGCTCCCGAAGGGTCCATCAGCGAAGCCGCGACCTGAAAGGACAACGAATTCAACCATATAAATACGCGACTCGCAATCAGCCCTTGCTTGCACTAAGACAACAACAAATTTCCAAGTATGGGTCGAGCCTATCGCACGAAGACTATCCTGCGAAGACCCGCTACTAGGCCTGAGAAGCTTTGGCAAATCGCATATCTGGACGCCAGGTTTTCGAAGCGCCTGACTACCAAAGTCATGCTGCGTGCCACGACCAAGCAGCAGCCCATCCATGCAACACGCAACTGTGTAACCGAGCCTTCTTCAAAGAACTCATGCGCCCATGCCAGCGTCGGAAGGAAAAATTAGAGCCGGCCCGATCGTGCAACAAGTCCGCCAGCTCCATGAGGACAGTTGCTGTCGCTAGCCTCACTGTTTGAAGTGTGCATGCCATACTGTGGCAATGGCTGTGAAGTCACCAGCCGCCATGATGGCTGACGCGCCACTGCAACTGGGCATGGACTTTTGCGCCAGCAACCGGGCCCAGTGTGACGCAATGTCGCGGCATGCTCACCTGACAAGAACACAAGTCAAGAATCTATCTGATATTCAAAACGCAAAAGCCCAAGCAGCCTGGCCCAGCACTGTCTCCTGCTCGCCCCCCGCGCTGTACATGGCATCCTTGTTCGCAAGGCTACTAAAAATAGTGGTTGTCGTGCACTCCCAACCAGCACAGAAACTCTTGCAAATCTGGTAAACGAGGTGCAATGCTCTCCATCGCTTCCCGCGCGTAAAATTTGCGCACCGGCCACAACAGCTGTAGCTCCTAACAACACTGCCATCCACCCAGGCTGCTTGCGTGCAGCAGCTCATACGCTGATTCAACATAATTACGAAGCACGCCATGTTTGAATCTGACCAAGCTGTGGCGCCGAGTCTTCTCGGAGCGTCGGTCCATTCATGGGCACGTTGTGCTCCCTCATTTTGGCTCTGACATGCGTGCCATAGGTGTCGGCCGGGAACTTCTTCGGCACATCCATGACCTTGAGTCAAAGACAAACAACGTTTGATCTCGAGTTCCCAGCCTGATCGCCCAACGCGTGTCAACGATGAGCATCAGAGAAATGCAGAATCTACAATTGCAACGCAAAACCGAAAATACAACAACGATCCCTGCACATCGCGCAGCCTTAGAGCCAGTATAGTGCAAGGCAGAACTCTGCCCTGTATGCTTTGTTGTTTCCTCCTTCCTTTCCACATTATCGAACAATTCATCCCACCCACCACGCTTCTTGCAGCCAGTTCTAGAAATTGTATAGGGTTTCGGCCCCAATAACGTTTTGAGCGAAAGTTTTGACCGAAACTTTTTTTGGAACCACATTTTTATTTTTGGGAAGGGCGGGGGGCTGGGTGGCAGGGGCGAGCCTCGGGAGGCCCGGGGCCTGATTTGCGGTGGCTTTGTGGCTTCTTGGCATCTTTTGAGTCTCCTGGAAGCCATTTTGGGCTTGGGATTGGGCTTTGGAGGCCGATTTTGGGCTTTGCGGGCCAGTTTGGGCAATTTTGGGCTTTGGGGGCCAATTTTGGGTTCTGGGAGCTAATTTGGGAATTCGGGCGTTGGGGCCAATTTGGGCTTTGGGGGCAATTTTGGCCTTTGGAGCCAATTTTGGGCTCTGGGAGCAAGTTTGGGCTCCGGAAGTGGCCTCGGGAGCAATTTTGGGTTTTTGGGAGCCAATTTTGGGCTCTGGGGCCAATTTTTGGCCAGTTTTGGGCTTTGCGGCAAAGTTTGGGCTCCGGAGCCAATTTCGGCTCTGTCCGGAAGCCAATTTTTG